TTTGCGATGTGAGGACGAGTCCGAAGAGGACGTTTTCGGCGATAATAGTGATGATGACACTACCTTTGATCCTTCACAGTAATAAACCGCTAAATGATTTTTTTTAAATAAGTTTTTCTTCAATGTTCTTAGTTCATAAAGAGTTTATAGTTATTTTTTTACAGTTACCATTAAGCCTTCAATGTTTTAAGTAAATAAAGTTTATTTTTACTAAAAGCCTGGTTTTTTGCTTATTTTTTTTTTTAATAATAATAATAATAATAATACTCTCCCTAATTCACCCGAGTGATTTTAACCCCAAAAGCTGAGTTTGTGCAAGGAAAGGGACTGCTATTATTATTATTTGCCGTGGCGCTCCGGGGCGACTTAAAGATGATTGATGGTGCCATTTGACTTACAGGTGAGGAAAACCCGGAAAACCTATTACCACCCACTATTTTCCATGGGCATCTTTATACCGGGGCTACTTTGTCACAAAACGCGATTTAAATTTTATGTCCATTAGGTGACAAAGTAGCCCCAGACTAGGGGTAACATTGTCACCCTAATTTTTATTCTTTTTTTTTTTTTTTTCGAAAAATAGGTAAAAATATGAAAATTTTCACTGACCATTCAATCCGCCATAGTCCATTTGGTATAATAAAATTTATTTGAAGCAATTGTCCCAATAATTAAGATGATTACATTAAAATATGTCACAATAAACATGACAAAGTAGACCCAGTTGACGGTACACGTTCCAAACCTCATAAATCCAGAATAATTTTATTCTGGATTCTAGATTCTGTATTTTTTGTCTCTACAAGTGGGCATGAAAATGTGAATTTGGCCAAAAGTGGAGTTATGAGGTTTGCTAATTAGGGTAACGTTATAAAAGTATCTGCAATTACAAAATTAGAGCATTTTATATAATATCTAATGATCCATAGTTAATGTATTTTAATTTTATCTGTCGAAATTCTAAAGAATACCTATTTAAATTTAAATCTGATGCTACGAGGTGAGCCAAATTTAGTTTAAGTGACTATTTTCATAAACATTCTAAATTGTTAATGAAAAGACGTGATTATAATTATTATAAAAAAAGAAAATTAAAGGACCCCGCACTTTTAACATTGATTTTGGGTACTGACAGAATTTGTTCAAATTTTAGTATGTTATTTTTCAGGTCATTACCGGCAACTTTCTTATGGACCTCAAGTTTGCAGCTCTACAGGGTGAGCTGTTAGAAGGAGTTAAGTGTGAAATATAGAATTAATATTTTCATATATATCTCTACCTCTCTTAAGTAATTCATGTTTTTTCCATTAAACTTATGGTACCTCTTACACTTTGTATATATTTTTTAATGCCTTCTAGTATTTTGTAAAATAAAATATACAGAGCGTTCAAAAAATTAGAAATAGTAGTTACTTAAATAAGGTGCATTTTTATGTATTATCGTAATAAGAACATTATTTCTGATAGCTTGTTATATTAAATACTAGATAATATTTAATAATACAGGGTATGACAAAAATACATTATAATTTATAGTACAAATAATATTTTTTTTACATAGGTATTTAGACCACTAAATAATAAATCAATAAAAGAAACTGCATTTAAAAAACTTGTACTGCATACATTAAATATAAACCAATCAAACCATCAAAATCTGACTCATCTTTCAGCAGCATCTAAAATAAACACATGAAGGGTACTTTATATTATTTTCGTATTGTGCGTATCCTAGGTACTACAAAACACTAGAAATATAAGCACATATGCCTACAGTTCTTGCAACAGTCTTACACGTACAGTAATACCCTTTAATTTCATTATATTCTATAAATAATATGTGCTTTACATTATTTTGAATATATTTGATACAGTGGCGTACCCATGGGGGGATAATAGGGATATTTCCCCCAGGAAGTCCCAGCACGTCCGCAAACTCACACACATCATCAAAGTAATAAGTAGCTGTAAGAAAAAATAAGAGTAAGAAACCTCTAAATCAGTTTATAATAATTACTAAATAAAAAACATCATACAGGTGTTAGAAGTACTTTAATCTGTCTCAAAATTGTCAGTTATGTAATATCGTCGTTGTAGAGTCAAAACCTCGTAATTCTATTTTTTTAGTGAGATTAATTTTAAAAATGTAAATCTTTAACCATTTGGAATATTTTTGACTTGCCTTTTTCTATTACATAAAAAAGCTACTTTTACAAAATTAACAATTACAGAAAAAAAAAGTGTTTTTAGTGTTTCCTGAAAACCTGGTAATTTTATGATACGAGGTTTTGACTCTACGACGACGATATGAGGTTTGTTCCAACAACTATCCAAAATCAGTCATTAGCACTAGAATTCTGCGCAGTATATAATTTGGGGTTTTAATGATCTACTGCGCAGAATCCTAGTGGCAATGACTGATTTCTGATCAATGCTGGAACAAATCTAAGGTATCAGCTCCTTGTTTTATAAAATAGAATATTCTAATTTTCAATAAAAAAAATTTCCATGTTCAATTTTGTTATCCCCCCAAGATCCATATCTGGGTATGCCACTAATTCGTCACCGCAATAATGTAGGTTCAAATTGTTTACACTGAACAACAAATTCATTGTTTTCGACCCTGCTTGATGTACAGGGGTGTACAGTAAGAATTGGCCAGAATTAAATACCATCAGTATTTATAACAGGAATTTTTTTATTAAATTACTACTGCGAAAACTGTACAAGATTTTTTATATGGTTCTATTTTAACGTACTAAATCTACAAAAATGAAAATAGTGGTAGACTGACATCTGTACAGTAAATATAAATCAGGAATTACTTTTTAATTAGAATATGTCTTCTGAATCATTTATTCAAGTGAGGGTTAGTAGTAGTGTTTCGAAATTAAAGAAGACGTAGAATATGATTTGGTTGGAGATTATAATACATGCAAAATTAATTTCGCTTCAAGATTCTTTCTAGAATATTTTGGGTAGGTGTTCCAAGTTTTTTCGCTAAATTTATTTTTTTTTGTAATTATTAGTTGTTTATGTAGTTCTGTCACATCCTGTATTACTTATATATTATCCAGTGTTATATAAAACAAAAAAATGGTCAGAAGTCTTATTTTAGCTATAGTAATACATGAAAAATGTACCTTATTTTAGTAACTGATATTCCTAATTTTTTGAACATTTATTTTACAAAGTGCAAGTGAGCATTAACAAACTATATATAAGTGTAAGATGTGCCATGAGTTTTATGGAAAAAACATAAATTGTTTAAGAGTAGTAGAGATATATATGAAAATATTCATTTTGTATTTCATACTTTTGACTCCTTCTAACAGCTCACCCTGTAGAGCTGCCAACTTGAGGCCCATAAGAAAGTTGCCGGTAATGACCTGAAAAATAACCTACTAAAATTTGAACAAATTCTGTCAGTACCCAAAATCAATGTAAAAAGTGCGGGGTCCTTTATTAAAGATGTTGTTATTTAAATGTTATTTTTATTAGTACTTACATTCCGAAAATATTTACCAGTACTTGTGGAACCCCCTATACAATAGTTACTTTTTTTAGATTACTGTGATAAACATTCTGTCCAACCTAAATACTGTTGGATAACCCTGTATAAAACGAAAAAAAAAATCGCAGATCTTTTACAGTACCCGACCATCCACAGCATGCAGTTTTCTTTTAAAAAGTAATTACTTTGAAGTACCTTTTAACATATTATACAAATATGTATATAAATATTAATATCTAATAAACTATTTGTATATGATTATTGCTATATATTTCCTGTGGTAATTAACATAAAAATCTCTAAAAACACAACGTAAAAAGGAACATACGACTTTGCAGGACAAATTCGGGCTGCTTGTCAGCATATCAACGTCTTTTCGTTACACTAAAAATTATTATTTTTGTTTAAAAATGGAAAATACTCCTAAATGCAGAGTACAAGGTAATAATTATCCAAAAGAGATCAAGAATCTTATCTCAGAAAAAAGGAAAATTAGGCGAAAATTGGTGTTTCACAGGGAAGTGTTCTTGAGCCAGTATTAATTTAATATACACCTATGACATTCCAGAGATATAAAATATAAAATTACCTACATTTTCTGATGATACAGCTGTTTTAACCATAGGATTAACTATAGAAAATGGAATCAATAGCATACAAATCTGGTTTAAACAGTGGCGCACAAAAATCAACGATGAAAAATGTGCCCATGTAAACTTTACCAATAAAAAAATAGATTATATACCAATACACTTAGGCAACAATAAGTATTATACCATATACCAAAACAGCAAAATATCTGGGTCTAAATCTGAACGCTAATTTAAAATGAAAAGAGCATGTAAAAATGAAAACTGAATAGCTAAATATTAAATATAGAAATACAGGGTGAGGCACCGAAAACGAAACAGATCGCATATCTTGAAGACACATTTTTTTTTTGGAAAAAATGCAAAAAGAGGTCGTTTTTTATTTCAAAGGGGACATCTTTCGATCATATCCTCAACTATCCTACATCCCTCCCCACCCCTCTGTCACTATTACCAATGAAATTGAAATAGGGAAAGTACTAAGTGTGACACATCATTGAAAAGGTAATTTTATAAGGAATTTAACTGTGACATGTGCAAATAAGCATATTGTCATGTGAAAGCCAAATTTAAAAATTTAACGCATAATTACCTTTGGAATAAAATTCAACTTACTACGCCTATGTTTTGGTAAAATACAAATAAAGGTTTTTATTTCAGTAACTACCAGATCTGTTTTTTAGTTTAGTGTCCTCCTAAGAAAGAGACTTCGGGAATGAATATTCAAAACGTAAAAGACTTTATAAAAAGGTTTGCCAAATATACATCCCACTATAGCCGCCAGAATCGAGAGTATCTCTCGCCCGATTTTAATATTACTAAACTTTTTAATTGTATGTACAAAGCGAGGAGCCAGAAGTAAATGTATCCAAATTTGTTTTTTCAAAAATATTTAGTGAAGATTTTAATCTTCATTTTCGGTACCCTGTGACCGATACTTGCAAAAGATGTGATTCTTATAACATGAAAATAAAAAATTCTAATGGTGTGGAAAAAAGCACAAGGGAAAGAGAAAAAGAGTTACACCTACGGATGGCAACCAAAGATAAGGACACCACAACGACCATCGCGTTTGATTTGATGAAAACTTTAGCAACTCCCAATATTTCTATGGGAGTAGCATATTATACAAGACAGCTGTGGACGTATTGTTTGGGCATACAAAATCTCACCACAGATCAAGCACACATGTATGCATGGCCTCACGGGGTCTGCAAGAGATTGGCTCTTGCATTATGCACTATATGAGAACCTCTGTAAAAACACCAGTTTTGATCTTATACAGCGACCAATGCGGAGGTCAGAACCAAAATATAAAATTCGCATCTATTTGTACATACATGACGGTCTACAATGATTTTACTCCCGCAGTCATACATCACAAGTTTCTTGTTTCCGGTCATTCCTACTTGTCCTGAGATAGAGACTTTGGGATGATCGAAAAACAAAAACGATTCTACCATGACATTTTTTGCCAGATGACTGGGTTAAAGTTATTTCTAGCTCCAAGAAAACTAACAAATTTCAGATAGTAAAAATGAAATCTAAAGACTTTAAAAGTACCACTAGGCTAGAGGCGCTACTCACAAATAAGAAAAATGGGAACAAGACATAAAACTATAATGGCTGAAAATACAGTGGTTAATGTTTAAAGCTGAAGAACCGTTCAAGATTCATTTTAAATATTCTAACAACAAGGATGTACTTTTTTATAGTGTTGTTTGTAAAAAAGAACAGAGGTTTCTCTAATGAAAACTGAAGCTTTTTACTTGGACATCCTTTATTCTACTGGAAGACCAATGAAAAAATTCAAATACAAAGATCTTCAAAGTCTCCTTCCATATATTCCGCCAGTGTGTCACGATTTCTACACCAGTTTAAAGACAAACAAACAAGCAGAAGATGGTGATATTGGACTAGAAACAGATGAATAGAAGACCCAAGTGGACAGTTTATGTTTTTTTGTTAAAGTTTTGAATTTGGCAGAGTGGCCCAACTAACTTTTTTTCTAAAAGTAACAATTGATTTGATATGTTTTTCTTATCTTTAGACTTATAAAATGTTTACGTTTCTGATCATATGTTTACTTATAAATAAAATGGAACTTTAAAACTGAAAAACTGGTTTTAATTTATGCTCAATTTTTTATTTGCCTTATCTCAAAACTTTAATTTTGCCACTCAATTATGGGGATGTGCCAAATTACAATTATTGTCGAGAAATAGTTTAAAACCGAATTTTTAGGAACATAATTAATGCACCAAGAACTCCAAGTTGAATCAATTCCAGTAATTAAGAAAATAAACAAACACACCAATATTGAACAACTTCTACTTTTAGACATTCAGGACCTAGTGCGTAGACTTAAAAGAGTTAAACCTTTTGAGTTTGTGTAAGTGAAGTGCTAGTGATAAAGCCACTATATCGAAGTGTGCAGAATATGTTAAAAACTAGTATAAACAAAGGTAAAATCAAAATTTATTTTTTTTATGTGCATTCTGACACATTAAATAAAAATATATCAGGATCATAAATTTGTTGAATCACGTACAAGAAAGATTTCTCAATAATTACCATTAGGAAAAATTTTTCTTTCAAGTAGATGAAAATAATTATGCTCTTGATCAATATTATTATTTTTACAGTAAAAATAATAAAATAAATACTGATGTAACTGGATAAACGTTGATATACTAAAAGATGCCCTGTTGATGTGGCATCCGTGGTCACGATACATTTTGTTTGACTAACAATAACATCGGCAATATCTGGTCAGCGGTAAACTACATGTGGTTACAACCATATATATACCATCCATCCATACCACTATTCCCTGCTCTCTAATACTGCAAAGGTACACTATCCCGTCAGAAATAGATTATAAAAATACTTGACAAGAGTTATTTAAAAGTTGCTGTCAATTCTTAAACGTTAGCGATTCACCCTGTACGTAAATAATAGCAAAAAGTTATTAATGTATTGCAAACTTTTCTCTAACTCATGCCAAAAGTATTTTCATCTGTGGAATGAATGTCAAATAAGCAGAATTTCGCCAAATGACTACAGACAGATATTTCAGTTTTCTTTTTTGTATTTATTTTGACAATTATTATTGTTTTTATTTTTATTACGTCGGTAATTTGTATGATATGTTTACGAATTCGGTTAAATGGATTTCCATTCCAGTTACAAGAAAAAGAAGTATGCAAAGTTCTTTTTTTTATCAAAAAACAAATGAATCTAATAATATTAAATATACGACAAATTATTTTTTGATGACGTCAACCGAATATTACTGGCTGAATTTTTATCTTGATATTTTAGTATGTTAATTTTATTATGAACTTTGCGGTACTGCTGTTTCTTTTCTTTCGGAAATTTTTCTGGTCTTCGTCAAAAGAAATACAAGTTTTTTGATAAAACGATCATTGAATCACCATTTTTAAGAACTACTTGCTAGTAAAGTACTGTTGTAAATTAAAAAAAATAGGTAATAATACTATCACAGCTCTCACATTCCGCAAAATAACATAGCTCTTAATTTATTTTTACTACTTTTTTTTCTAGAAAAACAAAAAATCGACAGTAGAACTACAATCTCGTAACTGCAAGCTCGATTGTTTAACGTTGTGATTTATAATTTCGGTTAAATATTATTAGAAAATTTAGAATTACTTTTATGCATTTTAATTGTTACTTTTATGCATTTTATTTGTTACTTTTATGCATTTTATTTGTTACTTTTAAACTCATATTAGTGTTCTCAGGGCATAAGTAACAGTACGATATACTCAACTGTCATCAATATACAGGGTAGGGAGTAAATGCCATGTCAATAATGAAGAATTCAATTCCTTTGCCTTTTTATGACTAAAATTTCATGAGAATTGTTTAAATTATCCTCTAAATACTACAAACAAACTTGCAAGTTTAATCAAAATCATTGAAAGAATGTTTAAAATAGTAAGAAAAACTATTTTTTCTACAACCACAGTTCAAAACACACTTTTCTGTATAGTTTCACGTTGATGATTTCTTACAATAATTGAAATATGACATAACCGTGCCTGACAGTGACATTTCGATGCCGAAAAATGTGGTTAATGAATATAACGCTAAAATGGACTAATAATACTAATCAAAGTATTGATATTTTTGAAAAATAATTGCTTTTTAACACTAAGGTTCGTCATACGAAAATCTTTATATTGAATAAATGTATTAAAAATAGTTCATTAATTTTAATACAAATCATCCATTGGTGGTTCTACAAGCCGGATAGTACTTATTTTTTATTAAAATTATTTATTGGTCCTTCGAGCAGAAGTTTCAGAAAAAAATTAAAATTAATAGTCTGGTCAATTAATTGTAAAGAAAAAAATGACTAAAAACCGAAGAACAAAATAGCAAAAGATCAAGAAAAAAATTGGGAAGCAAATTGTAAAATTCCTAACCAGTGCCAAAAAAAGATTAGAACCAAAAAAACAAAAGCTTATGTTGCAAATAGAACCGCAGAAAGAAAGAGATTATTGAAAAAGCGAATGAAAACGTTAAAAAATTGAAAATAAGTACTGCAGATCATGTTTATTTTTCAAAGAATCTATAAAAGAAGTACCGGACGATAACTAACAAAGACAACTTTTTAGCAAATGATTTGTTAAGAGTCAATAACCACGGCGCGCCCACCAAAAGAAATATTTAGATTATTAACTTAATAGGTTTGTTCGTAGAACGATTCACAACCGTTTCCAACTGAACTGCGCATGCGCATTGAAAATTTTTCGTTCGTAGAAGAATCACTGATAGTTTCCATTTATTAGTTTGGCGTTCGTAGACACAAATGAAGTGATTGCCAACTGATTGCCAACGGTTGGAAAAATCTGATTATTCTCCGGATTTTAAATCCGGGGTATGTGCACATGAAATATTTTTAATAATCCACGATTTGGCATTTGTTTGGCTTGAAATTTATGTATGTTTACATGTTTATCATTCGTCCATGCTTATGTTGATTTGATTAGTTGTTCTTTAGTTTTTGGTGTTTGTGTTTTTTGTGATAAACATTTCTATTTGACTTTGGATTTTTTTATATACCTAGTGTATATTAAAACTGCAAAAAAAAACAAATAGATACTTGGTTATTCTGTGACACATACAACTGCATACAACATGCATTACAACGGCAAACTTTTGTTTGTCCGTTCACTAAATCTGTATCCAACTCACGAGAAAAGGTAAAGAAAAATCCATAACCGTACAAAATGCGTTCGCAGAACATAAAAATGACAATTAATCCTAAACCGTTGGAAATCGCGCATGCGCCTCATAAAAGAATCACCAACCGTTCGAAACTGTCTCTACGAACAAACCTAATAACTTCTAAAATAATATTTTATGCTCTTTGTTATTAGTCTAGTCAAATATAAAAAATATATAAACATATAATATACTGATTTATTCAGAATAAACGATATTTTCTACTTATGAACATTTTTCGTCTTTATGATACAATTTTAACCAAATTTTAGGAGTGGGAAAGGTTCCACATGCCTAAGAGGTTGCATATTTTTTTTATATTAATTTTTACTTTTCCCCAAATATACCACTATGGTTATAATTGAATAATTATTAAGTTAATCTTTTTTGGTGTGCGTACCGTGCGCATTGGCTCTTTTAACACTGAAACGCCATTTGTTGATGACTCTTTGCCAAAATTAACATATTAAACAAATTAATGCATTCAATTGATCCAGAAATGTCAAATACAGTGTCTCCAAATATAAACCAGATCACACCCTTCATATTTGCCTTCAACCTCTTTTGCAATTGTAGAAAATTTCGCATCTCATAATTTAAATATTACAGAAAATGTTTCCAAACAGAATTTTAATTTAAAATTGTGAATTATAATTAATTAATGAAGTTATTTTTTTGTGCATAATTTGTTTGTCAGTAATTTCCATTAATTAACTGAATAAACTAAAAAATATGTTGTTATTTATTATCTATACAGGGTGTCCCATTAGTGTATAAGTGATATGAATTTAAAAATACATATTTTAAAAATATTTTTGGATATACAGGATGTTGCGTTTTCGTCTGATAAATAAAAATATATATTTTTTAAATAGAACACCCTGTATTTTATTTCAGTTTAAGAATGGCTGGTTAATACTGTATTTAATACTAGAATTTTTTTTAAAATATTACAGGTTTGCCAAGCAATACATTTTTTTATGAAATTAGAT